GTGAGAGTTTCGCGCCAGCCGCCAGGCGGTGCCCCGTGAGAGAGATGCCTTAACGCGGGCGTCTGTGCCAGCGCGGGGAGCAGGCAACGGAAAGATGTCACGATGCCGAGCAGGGCTCTGGGCAGACGCCTCAGAGCAACTAATTTCAGCTCGTGCGTGCAGGCCAGCCGGAGATGCAGCTGGCTGGGGAAGCATCACCCCTGCTCCTGCTCTTTGTTGCCCTTGGGCCCTTCTTGGGGCGCGCCAGAACTCGCTCCTCGCGCGCCTTGCGACGCTCCTTCATAACAGAATATTCCTTCGAGAGCTCACTGGCGATCCACTCGGTGAGAGCGGGCATGACACAAAGATTTCCCCTCACGAGGTCCGTGCCCCGAGCGAGGTGGGTGTCGAGGCGGTCATCGCTTCCCCCCGCGATCTTGTCCCAGTGCCGTTCCTCGGCCACCTGGAGCTCGCGGGCTGCTAGTTCGGCTGATGCGACGTTTGGCAGATTGAGCTGGTCATAACACGCGAGAGTCTCTAGCAACCTGCATGCACATTCGTGCGAGTCAACGTGGGGATCACCTGGCTGAAGCTTACAATCTGCCCGCCACCTGTTGTGGCGCCCCAGAGGTGTGCACGCGTTCGCCACAGTAAACCTGCAGACCCATACGTAAACAAGTTCTAGGACCACGCACTGGCCAATCGCCCCACGCATCTTCCGTGAAGAGAGACACTGCGTCTCGGAACTCCCGAAACCGACCGCCCGTAGCATCATACAGCACTGGACAGGTCCGAGCGTCGCCATGAGCTCCGACGGCCGGGGGAGGCCCTGCAGCCGCGACAGGAAAAGGCGGGGGAGCCACGGGCGCCGCCGCCGCGGCCGGCACGGCAGGGCCACCTGCCCCCGCGGCCTGAGCGGGAGGGGCAGCGGGCCTGGGCGCAGGGCCGAGGGCAGCGGCGAGACGAGCGAGGCCCCCTCCAGCCAGCCGCGGCCAAGGGGGCGGGCGGAGGTACAGCAGCTGGCACAACGCCGCCGGCGGGGACGCCTGCCCCAATGGGGCCCGCGACGCCGCCAGCAGCACCACCCGGGACGCCAGCAACTGGACCACCCCCCGCCGCGGCCGGGACAACCGCAGCGGCAGCTCCCCCAGCAGGTGCGCCGGCCACGGGTGCCCCGCCCACCAGAAGATGCACGACGCCCGCCCGGGGCTCCAGCCCCATCCGGCGGCAACACTGCACACGTGCCATGGTGAGCTCGGCGACCGTCGGCACTGCGCGGAAGCGGTGGTAGGCGGCGTGCGGTCCAGCCTGCGCCACGAGCGCGTCGGGGCTGGGAAGCTTGACCCAGTCTAGCACATCCCCGCCACGCACGCAACAGCTCCTCCACATACTCGTCCCGATCAGGGGTCATGACGCCCACGCCCACGAGGTAGGTAAGTGGAGTGCCGACACAACACCGCACATGCCAGAGCTCCCGCCCAGCCACGTTGTAGCGCATGGCGAAGAACTCCCCCTCCACGAGGCCGAGGGGGTGGCATCCAGCGGCAGCCGCCGCCATCACTGCACACGAGCAGCACGTCGAGCCTGCGCGGCCGCCGACTGCGCCCTGGCCAGCTGTGCGAGGTCGAGGGCCTCGAGCGCCGGCGTGGGCTCCGCGACCTGCTGCGCCGCCCTCGTGCCAGCCTGAGCAGCTGGCTTCCTTCGGGCACACCGCCCGGCGCCGGTGCCCGGCGCGAGGCGCTCGAGCTTCACGCCGAGGACAATGCCCGTGGCGAGGACCCCGGCGAGCAGTCCAGCCTGCTCCAGCGCCGACTGGCGCTCGTGGATCACCTCCTTGAAGCTCGTCGGCTCCACGTGGGGGCAATCGCAATGCACCACGGGAGAGCAGTCCGGGCAGCCCTGCCGGCTATTGGCCCAGAGGATAAGACTGTTGGAGACCCCTCTGGCGAGTTCTGGGAGAACCTCGCGTGCAGCCTGCCGAAAGGTGCATAGGCCGTGGTCTGCTCGAGCCTTGAGAATTACGGAACACAGTTCGAGTGCGGCCAGATATGACACTACTTGGCTTAAAGTTGTGAAAACATCAATGTAAATACATATATATATATATACATGTAAACATACATGTCTACCTACATACCCACCTACCTACATACATTCATGTCCACCTACCTACATACCTGCCTGCCTACCTACATACCTACATACATAAACATACATACACATACATGCATACATAAATGCATACATGTATGCATGCATAGATATACACACGCGTACATGTATACATAAATACATACATACATACATACATACATACATACATACATACATACATACATACATACATACATACATATATACATACATACATACATGCATGCATGCATGCATGCATGCATACATACATACATACATACATACATACATGCATGCATACATACATACATACATACATACATACATACATACAAACATGTATGCATGCATACATACAGACAGACAGACAGACAGACAGACAGGCATGCATGCATGATGCATGCATGCATGCATACATACAGGCATGCATTCATACATGCATACATCTATAAATGCATAAATACGTATATTTCTATATGAGAATATATATATATATATATATATATATATATATATATGTGTGTGTGCGGCACGCGCCGCGCAGCAACGAGGAGGAGGATGAGGAGGAGGAGGAGCAGGGGCAGGAGGAGGAGGAGGAGGGGCGGAGTTGATTCCCCACCGAGAGAAACAGGGGGGGATCCCCAAAACGAGAGACCCTCTCGGTTATCGAGGATCGAGGCTCTTTTGTGCATTCATGCCGTTTTTTACGCCTCTGGGGGGCCTCTCGTCGCCACTGCCGCACTCTCCTCGCAGGTTCTGGCCAGAACGCACCCCAGGATAGACCATGGCGGTCACCAGGGGCTCAGATTCCCAGACCTCCAGAGGACTCGAGGGCATCGAGTCTAAGGTTATTCAGCGTTTGCCGCCACTCGAGGCCGTTTTTCGGGCCCTGGGTATGTAAGAAAAACTACCCGGAATGAAAAGCGGATTCGGAAGGGGTCGAGACGGCCAGGCCCCGAAGACTCGAAAACATCGCGGAGGGGGGGCACGTCGTGAGGCCCTGGAATAATGGGTAGGTGTAGGACGCGAGCGGCCGCCCTTGAGCCTTTCCCCCCCGAGCGTTGCCCCTGAACGCCAGCCCGCCAGCACCTGGACCTCGGACGTCGTGACCTTTTCCGCAACGGCGTGGACCCAGAGAGAACTGTGGACTTATGACCAGGACCGGCTTCTCCTCCCGTGCCGTTCTGGGACGATCCTGGGGCCCGGCGAGGGCCGCTTGCAGCCCAAGACGGGCAAAAACTTCCCGACGCCACTTCCTCGCAGCGCGACAACGTCTGGAGAGGCCCCGAGCGCACGCGGGCGGCTCGAACCCGAACCCGCCAGTGCCCGGCGAGGGCGCTCGCGCCCCGCGCGCCAGCGCCAGGGCGCTCGCACGCGCACGCCGCGCCTCCAGGGCCGCGAGCCGCAGGGCCCAGAGGCAAGGAGGGCCACACGCTCGGGTGGTGCGCAGGCTCGGCCAACGGCATGCGAGACGGGGCCAGGATAGACGGGGTCGGAGGATAGCTTTGCAATCGGTGATGCATCGGCGACGGCGGCGATACGTCAGCGGCGTCGGCGTGGACAACACTGGGCTCCACATGCAGCCGCATCGCCGATGCATCGGCGATGCGGCGAGCTCCTCCGACCCCATCGACTCCGACCCAATTTGGGAGGTCAGGAAGGGCTGAACCCAGACGGCATAACTCCAGACGGAGACCGGGCACTCCGTATCAACTTACTCCGAATGGACCTGGCCCCCTCTCGGGAAGAACTACATCCAGACGAAGTAACTCCATACGGAGGCCGAGCACTCCGTATGGACGCACTCCGTATGGATTTAGCCGCCGCCGAGGAGGTCTGCACAGCCTCCCCCCGCCCTGCCGGCGGCCAGCCTCACGGCTGGGCAGGGCGGGACACGCCCGTCCCAGCCCGCGCCCGCGCGCCCCGCCAGCCCCGTCCCTGTCCCAGAGATCTCCCCCCAGGATGCCAAGAAAATCCCCAGTGGCCTCCAAGAAGAAGAAGAAGAAACAGAACACAAAAAACAAAAAAGGCTGCTTCTTCGCTGCAGTCCTCAGTCCTCGGCTTTTTCCTGTGCGCAAGTGCGCTCGGAGTCCAGGCGAAGAAACAAAGTGTGTGTGTGTGTGTGGCACGTATGTCCACCGGTTTGCTTCGTGTACATGCAGCTCTTGGTACGTAGTCCCTGGGTTTTTCTGCTCTGGCGTCTTCAGGCAACTGCTAAAAAAAGAACCCCCCTCACAAGGCCTCCAGCGCACCCCTCACGAGGCCCACAGCGCCCTCGGGGCCCCAAAACTGGGCAACCACATGTGAACCACCCCTGCAAATCAGATTGCTGGAAAGCCAGCTGGAGGTCGGAACCTCAAATCAACCCCTGCTGGGATATCCGATACCCCAACGCTGAGTGGACCCGTACGGGCAGGGTTCGCAAGTGGTCGCTGGTAAACGGCACGGAACACTGCTGGGGTTCACCCTGGGGCCTACGGAGAAGTCTGGGGTGGCCCTTTCAAAAGCGCAAGGCCCACGCTGGCAGGCTCGGTGACGGCACGTCGCCGACCAGCGCTGCCGGCCCCCCTCCCGTCCAGCTGGGTAGCCCGGAGACGGCTTCCCAGAGCCCCCGGCGCTGCCAGAGACCCCGGGAGACCCCAGCCCGAAGGCCCAGGGTTGTCACTTCAGCCTGGAAGAGGAGAGAGGGGAGGGCTGGAGCGGCGCGGCGTGGAGCAGCCCCCTTGAGCACAGGACACCGCCAGGAGCGGTAGCGAAGACAGGTCGGGTTTGCGCCCCCGTGCCTCGCGGAGCCGCGGCGTGTCTCGGCACACCCTCGGCGGCGCGCACGAGGGGGCGGGGGCGGGGCCTTCTGTCGGGGAGCTTTTTGGTCAGCGGCCGCAAGAGAGTCAGACGGCGGTCGGGCAGCGGCGGGGCGCGCCGAAGCACAGCGAGGCACGAAGGGGAGAGAACGCAACAAGGCGCGGGGCGGCCAGAGAGGCGGCGAGGCGAGGGAGCTACGCTCAGGCCATGCAAGTCGTCGCGTGCGTGGGTCCATCGGGGGAAAAAAACAATGACAGCAATGTAAAACTGTCCGAGGTCCGCGCGGATGCTTTGAATCGGCGCTGGACTCCCCGCCGCCCACGGGGGCCCCAGCGCCCCAGCGCCGATCCAAGAAATCCGCGCGGACCTCTGAAAGTTCATGCTTCTGTCGTTGTGTGCTCCGATTATGAAAAGCGGGGGAACTTCTCAGAAAGCGGGGGCATTCTGAGAAGGGCCCTCGCGGCCTCTAAGAAGCCTGATTGGAAGCTCCTCTCCGAGCAGAGCAATTATGAAAAGGCCCCGCTCGAAGTTGGCGGCGCGCACATGGGGGGTCGGGGGAGGGGGGAAGGCTTCTTAGAAGAAGGCGACTTCTTACAAGGCGCGGGCTCTGTCTACACATGTAGGGCGGTCAACGCATTCTAAGAAGCAGCCTCCTTCTAAGAAGTCTTCCCCCTGCCCCTTCGCCCCTGTGCGCGCCACCAGCTAAGCCCATCTCGCGCCACCCTCTCGTCCCCGGAGGGAGCGAGCGAGGGAGGGAGGACGACGGCGACGACGAGGAAGGACCCAGGCCTCCTCCCGCTGTGGGAGAACCACGACGAAGAGCTCTTCTGAGGAGGAAAATGTACTACCGCTACCCTTGCCGCGCGTTCCCTCTTTGGGGCCTCCTGGGAGGCCCTCGTCGCCAACGTTGGACTCGCCTGCAAACTCTGGCCAGAACGCACCCTGTGAGAGGTCCGCGGAGTAGCGGTTTCGGTGTCCGTGGATTTTCCCAGCCTCTGCCGATTCCGAACCTCCGGGGGCCCTGGGCAGCCCCCGTGCCGCCAAGAGACGGCTCCGGGCGAAGAGCTGGCCCTGGGCAGAGAAGGCCCAGGCCTCTCGGGATCCATGCTGTGAAGAGGGCGCGACGTCGGAGGTCTCTCGGGGACAGACAGAACCCCCATTTAGCAAATCGTGGTTTAGTGAAAACGACCTCGGGTCCAAACCTGGCGGGCGCAAGCCTGGAAAATGACGGCCGCGGAGCCCTCTCGAGAACCGAGAACGGACAGTTCACGAATCGACGTGTCAGGGTGGGGGCTCTGTCCACCCCCGACTCAGGAGGAGAGGAGCTGCAAAGATCGACGCCTCAAAAAACGAGGTATCATTTTTTCAGGGGCGTCTCTGGCGATGCCCGCGAGGGTCGGACGTGCCGCAAGGCGCTCAGGCGTCCGGGAACATGAACACTGCCTCCTGAAGGCCAGGAAAGGGAACGGCGCAATGGTGCTAGCATCTCAGAGCCCCCCACCGGTTCGCAAACGCCCCCACGGCGCTGATCTGGGGAGCGTGCTGGGGACCCGGGCGGGGCTCCCAGACCCTACCCGTCCTTTGCGTAAGCTATCTCCGGAGTTCCAGCCAGTGGGGCTCATGAAGAGGAGGAGGAAGGGAAGGGAAGGGGAAGGATGAGGAAGTCATCCGTTCATCCCGCTCACTGGAACCCTTGAGACGGCATAGAAGACTTGTCCCTCCCGTGGAGTGCCCTTCCAAGACTGACCGATCCTTGTTGGTGAGCTTCTTGTAGACGGCCGAGAAGCTCGCCATCTTCTCCTCGACGTCGCCCTTGTCCTTGTCCTTGTGACACGGTGGTCCCTTCCCTGTCTTCAGGGGCAGCCATCTCCCCCCCAGAAAAAAAACAATAAACCATCAAACGTACACCAACAAGCTGGAGCCACGTGCGATCTACACAGATCTCGTCGCCTGACGTGCAGAGCCCGCGGACGCCACGCAGGGGATACACGTGCGGATGGCCCGAATCCCCGCGCACACGGGGCGGAGCGCTGGAAAGACGCGCGGCCACATGCCACGGGTGTCCGGCTCTCACGCTCAGGCCGGCAGCGTCATGTACATGCGGCACCCTGGCCAGGCGGGGCAATCGATCGGAACGCTGCAAAAACTCGCGTTCGCTGGGCTCATACTTGGCGTGGCCAAACTCCGCTCGATAGCTTGTTCCGTGTTGGGCCAGCTGCCTCTCAAAAAAGGGAACTGGGCGGCGCGCACTGGACGGTGGCAGAGGAGGGGAGGGCTTCTACGAAGGTGGGGTGGCTTCTGAGAAGTCAAGGGGCTTCTTTCGGGGAGACGTAAGACTCAGGTCCGGGCGACTCGGGTTGACCTGACGGGGCCGTCAAGAAAATGACGCGATACAATTTGAAATTTGACGCGAGCTCCCGGTGCAAGCACCCCTCCAAACCGGACCGTCAAAATCCAGGGTGGGCCCGCAAAAAAGCGGCGGCAAACCCGCGTTCCAACGAACTCGAGTCTTACCTGTTTACCCGATTCTTAAATGCCCTCCTGGCTTCTCATGAGCCTTCCCAGAAAGCCTCGCCCTCTGAACCTCTGTTCTTGGGCCCCCCCACGCGACAATTCCTGGCCGCCGACCAACCTTGACCCCCCACCTGGCCACCACCTGGTCACCATCCGACACCCCCACCCTGTGGATCTCTGTTCTTGAGACCCCCCACGCGACCATCCCTGGCCCCCGAACAACCCTGACCCCCCCGTCCTCTGAAAGTTCCTTCCCTGTAAAACGCCCCCCAACCCGCCTTCTTACAAGGCCGCCCCCGCGCCCCCTGGTGCGCGTCGCTGAGGGGGGGGCAGCACCGCGGCCCCCTGGAACCAGGAAGCTACTCCCTCTCTTGCCTCCTCCTTCTCCTCTATCTCCTGATCCTGCTCCTGCTCCTCCTCCTCCTCCTCCTCCTCCTCCTCCTCCTCCTCCTCCCCTCCTCCTCCTCCTCCTCCTCATCATCATCATCATCATCATCATCATCATCATCATCATCATCATCATCATCATCATCATCATCCATCATCCTCATCCTCATCATCCTCATCCTCATCCTCTCATCCATCATCATCATCATCATCATCATCATCATCATCATCATCATCATCATCATCATCATCATCATCATCATCATCATCATCATCATCATCATCATCAGCATCATCATCATCATCATCATCATCAGCATCATCATCATCATCGTTATCATCATCATCATCATCCTCATCATCATCATCAGCATCATCATCAGCAGCATCAGCATCAGTATCATCATCATCATCAACAGCATCAGCATCAGCATCAGCATCGTCATCATGATCATCATCATCATCATCATCATCATCATCATCATCAGCATCATCATCATCCTCATCCTCGGTTTCTTATTATTATCACTCTCATGATTATCCATATGAATGGTATTGGTATCAGTATTGTTAGTTTGATTAGTTTAGCAGTGGTATTCTCAGGAAAGGCACTGTTCTTATAATGATCGGTCGCATTCCTATTAGTACGATTATTATTATTAAGTTTATTACCCTCCTCCTCCTCCTCCTCCTCCTCCTCCCTCCTTTTTGTTCCCCTTCCTCCTGATGCCCCTCCCCTCGCCCTCCCGTCCCTCCTCCTCCCCCCACCCGCCCTGGTGCCAGCCGAGGCCACGACGGAGTTGCCTCACTCTCCTCGTCTTCGCGGGAGCACGTGAACGTGGGAAGCGAGAGCGGAGGACCCCGAACTCTGGCATCGCGATTCCTGCACAGCGTGGACCCCGGAGATTCGGACCTCTTCCCCAGGACCAGCTTTTCATCTCGAGTCGTTCTTTGACGGCCCCAGGGCCCAGGAATGGCCCCTGGAGACCGAAAATGCCCAGAAGCCTTCCGTCGTGATATCGGTAGCAGCGCGAAGAGGGTGAGGAGGACCACCGCGGTCCTTCGGATCCAAGAAGACCTTCATCAGCTTCGTGCCATCCAGGCTGATGCGCGTGCGCCTGCCCACAATCTCGGTCGGTCCGACGATGTCCTTCTCTGCGGGGCCCCCGCACGAGGAGCGAGTGAGCGGGAGGCCCTGGAGGGCCCTGGAGGTCTCCAAACCACTTCTCCTCCTCCTCCTCCTCCTCCTCCTCCTCCTCCTCTTCCTCCTCCTCCTCCTCCTCTCCTCCCCTCCTCCTCCTCCTCTTCCTCCTCCTCCTCCTCCTCTTCCTCCTCCTCCTCCTCCTCCTCCTCCTCCTCCTCCTCCCCCTCATCCTCCTCCTCCTCCTCGTTTTCCTCCCCATCCTCCATTGCTTCTCCTTATAGATAACTTCTCCCTGTCGCACCCCGAGGCCAGTTTTTAGGGCGGGCCGGGCGCTTCGCCTGGGACTTCCTCACCATTTACGACTCTGAAGTTGAAAGAGTGACAACAACTTCACAGATGGAAGGCGGGTGGTTTTCAATATGTGGCTCTCACCTGAGCGCCGCGCATATTCGTTTTGAAAATTTGCAAGAGTTTCACAGATTGAGGGCGGGTCGTTTTCAAAATGTAGCTCTCTCCTTCGCGCCGCGCACATGCGTTTTAAAATTTGCAAAAATAAAAAAATCACGGATTGAAGGCGGGTGGCTTTCAAAACGTGGTTCTCGCCTTAGAGAGGCACACATTCGTCGAACAAATAGGAGGTTCACGGATTGAGGGCGGGTGGTTTTCAAAATGTGGCTCTCGCCTTAGCGCCGCGCACATTCGTTCAAAAAATTACACGAATTTCACGGATTGAGGGCGGGCCGTTTTCAACATGCGGCTCTCGCCTTAGCGCCGCGCACATGCGTTGTAAAAAAACATGCAAGAGTTACACGGATTCCCGTGATCAACGTACCAGAAGTGGTGTTTTGGAAGGACTGGCGTTATGGCACGATTCCAGATCGTGAAAACGTAGCAGCCCGATTGATACGTTGCGCTGACATCCCGAGAACAATGGATTGGCATGCTTCAGGATCTTCAAACGGTTGTCTTCCAACGAGGCCCTTCCCTCAATGGACATGAACCGTCGCAGCGGCCTATGACGAGGGAGCTTGGAGGGAGGGTTCATCCCAACATCGTTGATGACTCTTGGGTTAACACTGGTCCTCCTCCTCCTCCTCCCTCCCCCTCATCCTCCTCCTCCGCCCTTCTCTTCCCTTCTCCTCCTCCTCCTCCTCCTCCTCCTCCTCCTCCTCCTCCCCTCCTCCTCCCCTCCTCCTCCTCCTCCTCCTCCTCCTCCTCCTCCTCCTCCTCTTCCGTCTCCTCCTCCTCCTCCTCCCTCCTCCTCCGCCTACTCCTCCCTCCTCCTTCCCTCCTCCTCCCTCCTCCTCCTCTTCCTCCTCATCGTCTTCTTCTGATTGTTACAATTCTTATTGTTATCATGAGTAGTAAGATTATTGTTATGAGTTGTGTTCACATTATTATCTGTAGTATTAGCATTAGTGTTACAACTAGTACTGCTAGTATTATTAGTAGTAGTATAAGTTGTACAAAGAGAAATACCAGTATTAGTAGTAGTAGTAGTCGTAGTAGGAGTCCTAGCATTAGTATCAGCATTAGCATTAGTATTAGAAGTAGTAGTAGTGGTCTTAGTATTAGTACTGTGAGTAGTCCTATTATTAGTAGTGGCATGATTAGTAATAGTAGTACTAGTAGCCGTATCGTGCGTTGCCGTAAAATGCTTCGGGCTCGTATCCCTGCTATTATTTGTCGTGTTGGCGTTAGCCTTATTATTAGTATGTGTAGTGTTCTTTAGTTTAGTGTCCCATTAGGTTAAGAGCATGATGATAAGTACTATGATTCGTCGGTTTATTATTGTTAGTCTGACTAGCGTTCATAGTATTCGTGTTAGTCGTAGTCGTCTCCGCATTCGTAATAGTATTATGATTATTCGTCTTAGTATAATTATTCGTAGTATTATTCGTATCACTCACATGCGCAATCGTCTTAGTATCTGTATTATGTTCACTACTAGTATTAGTCGTACGTTCGTCTACGTCATATGATTCTTCTTCGTTTTGTCATAGGTATGGTTGGTCGTCGTATGTGTATGTGCTTTATTCTTCTTAATGGACGTAATGGTCGTAGTGTTCCTCCTCGTCATCATCATCCTCCTCCGCCGCCTCCTCCTCCTCATCATCATCATCTTCATCATCATCACCATCATCATCATCATCAGCAGCAGCATCATCATCATCACCACCACCAAAACCACCACCACCACCACCATCATCATCATCAGCATCATCATCATCAGCATCATCATCATCAGCATCATCATCAGAATCATCATCATCATCATCATCATCATCATCAACATCATCATCATCATGACCCGCCTCCGCCTCCGCCTCCTCCGTCTCCGCTTCCTCATCTCTCCTTCCCTCCCTCCCTCCCTCCCTCCCTGCCTCCCTCCCTCCCTCCCTCCTTCCTTCCCACTCAAGCAACTTGGGCTCGGGCACCAAGTCCTCCCGCCCCCGCGCGCGAGGCACGTACTCAGTCCAGCACTGTACTTTCTCGGAGTGTTTGAGGAGCACCGTCTTTCTGCGATTTACAAACAGTCACAGACAGCGGTTGGCCGGACAGTGCAAAGACACGGCTACGATATGACTCGAGGCCAGCAGTCACAGTGGTCCAAATGTGGCAATTGTGGTGCCTGGGATTGGAGTAAGAACCTCTCGAGTCGCAGATGCTGCTGCGCCAAGTGTGGGCAAACCGTCCAGTTATTTGACGGCAATCGCCTGCACCATCCTGGTCGGGGAGCTCGAGATCAGCAGAACCAGGTGCAGCAGCAGCAGCAGCAGACGCAGGCAGTCGTGGAGGGGATCATCAAGGGTTTGGCCACATCTGTGGCAGCGCCTCATCTCGCCCAGGTGACCGAGGCGTTGCGCGCCCAGCTCAACCCATCCACGACACCAAGCAGGGCGCCCACTACTGAGGATACCTTGAAGCGTGCCTCAGGCCAGTGGAGAGATGCCAATACAAAACATGATCAAGAAGTTGCAGCAGTCATACGTGGTCAGGCCAACTTGGATAGGGCCCAGCAGCGTGAGAAGGAGGCGGCGATGATTTAGCACAAGCAGATTTGGAGCGGAAGCAAGCCACGGCAGCTTTCGCTAAAGAAGTGGGAGGCGGATCAGGTGAAGGCCAGCGTGGACAGGCCGACACGTCCGCCGCGTTCGACATCGTTTGGGATGAGACTGTATTCAAAGATTTGGATCAACTGGATGGGATTGAGGCAGCAGAGAAAGATGACTTGCTGAAAATCCACCAGGAACTCCAGCACAACAAGACGCAGCTGGCTGCAAAGAGTGAGGACGCGAAGACACGCATAGCTCGAGCCAAGGCGCTGCACGACGCGATCAACACGAGGTCGGGCAAGAAGCGCAAGACGGGGACGGCCGACGGGGGATCCACCGAGGGCGACAACGGGACTCAGCCAAGCGAGGCCCCTGCCACTGCAGCGCCTGATGAAGGCGAGTTGGCAACGCCCGCAGCTGAGGTCGAGGCGGCGACAGCGACGGCCAACTCAGAGGTCGAGGAGGCAGCAGCCAACATCTCAGCCAGCAAGATCGCCGCCGCGAAGGCCGCGGCCCTCATCGAGCAGGAGGCCCTCAAGGTCGTCAGCGGCAGCGGCACCAGCGGCAATGGCGGCAAGAAGGGCAAAGACGCCAAGGCTCCCCGTGGCAAGGGAGGCAGCGGCGGCAAGTGGGTGACACAGTCGGGGCCTCCATACATGACGGTACAGGATGCCCCGACCAAAGACGGCAGAGGTACCAGTGCCCAAGTTTTGAACCTCTTCGGTGCGTTGTTCCGCAAGACCAGCATCGACGAAGCACTATAAGCAGACGTAACAGCTACTGTGGCATCCAGCGCACAGTGCCCAGCGCCACCATCTTCTACACCTTCTACTTCGACAGGGTCGACGACAGCATGTTTGGGGTCACAGGTGGTGGGCACATCGAGTCCGATTACGTCGCCGGCATCAACATCTAGCGCGGCTCCAACAGGTACCACTGCTGGCAGTTCCCAGGGAGTGAACGAGCAGCCCACCGAGGAATGCAGCCTTTCTTCGCCAACATTACCAGCATGTGGACGTCGGCCAAGACGTCGCAGGCATGGCAATACTTATCAGAGAATCTAGACAAGCATCAGTGTTGGGCATTCGTGGAGACACATGTTGCATCAGATGCAGTTCGACAGTGGCACAAAGCAGCGCAAGGGTTGGGCACGAAGCTCATCGCCAACGGTGCGCGACCCTCAGGCCAGGCCAAGCCACAGGAGATGGAGGCCAGGGCCAACGAGGGTGGAGAGTGGTTCCTCATAGGAGGACAGAGACAAGCACATGCATTACCAGCAGCGCAGCACAGAGGCTTCAAAGCACGTCGTGGGACTGCAAACGATGGCTTCTGTGCGACAGTGGTGCGCTTCAGGGGGGTCAGCTTGGTCATCATAGTGTTTTATGGCCTATCAGCGATAGGAATGACAGGCGACAACCTGGTGCGATACCACAAGCTCGGCAGTCTCGTCCGAGCGCCGCAGTTACCCTGGCTCAGCATCGGGGATTTCAATATTCCAGCATCGACTCTCGCAAAGACGGGTTTTGTTTCAACGATTGGAGGGAGGCTCTACACAGGAGACCTTGTAACCACGTGCACGGCAAGAGCATCAGGTTCTCTGATCGATTATGCTGTGGCCAGTAACCACTATCTTCCTCATCTCATCTCCATCACCCCAGTTGCGCAAGTACCGTGGAAGACGCACATTGGATTCCAGATCCGCATCCGCGGGAAGGGGTTCCAGCTGTTGGTTAGGGCTCTAGAGATCCCTGCGAGGCTGCCCCAGGCAGGGCGGCCGAAGCGCGAAGCCATCCCTGGGTCAATCGTCTGAGTCTCGGAAACAGCATGCTGAGAAGCAACGGGCCGATGTCGAGCGTAGGGTTTCACTTTATAACTCTCTGTTTGGGGGCGATCCCGAGACCACAGAGCCCCCCGAGGAACCCCCTTAGATCACGACCTGCTGCTGCAGGG